ATTAAAATCAATAATAGGGACTGTGCCCTGACTTTTGATTCTGGATATCAGGTCTGTATCCAGAGTCTTCTAGAAGTCCTAGCAGCCCATATGCGTTCACAGATAGGGGATCTGTGTAAGGCTGTTGGCTGCTTTTTCATGCGATTTGTGCTGCTGAGTTAGATGTATGAGTGCGCTGCATGCTGYAGGGGTGAGGCAGAAGTCATGGCCTCACTTCCCTTCTCCCTGTCCTCCTTTGCTAGTTGCAGCACCTTGGGTTCATCTTACTTTGATTTGGCCCAGCCAGGACATGCTTCTCTCTCTATAGTTTGTGACATGTGCCGTGGCACTCTCTTGTTATATTGGTGTTAGATTGGGTTTCCCTGAATACAGCAGCATTAGGGAGTGCTCCTGCTCCAGATCCCAGCCCTGGCTAATTTTTAATATCTATACCACACTACAGGGAGCCCCAGGACACTGCTCAAGATATAGAACTAAATTTGTGTGTGCATTAGACTCATATGTGGATGTAAGTCATATCAAGGAATATATTTGCACTTTGGGAACTGGTTTATAACATTGGTTTCTCAGGATTTCTCTCTTTTTTTTGAACAGGCTTCTGAAACGCTGAAAGCTGAACAAGCCGGGCTTGGGATGTGGCATTAGTGGTTTGGTAGTGTTGTGTTCTCTTAGGTAGCAGAATGRTACTTAAACATGATCAATGTGCCATGGCTGAGGTCAGATAGAGCTTGTTCCTAACCTCAGGCARGTTTTTCAGCTATTTTGGTAGTCTACTTTTCAAGACGTGGTGGATCATCAATTTAACGTGTTCCCTGCTGATGGAGGGATACAGGAGACACAGCTAATCTGTGCCTCTATCAGTGTAGTGTGTCTCTTGGTCTGCTTTTATAGATCTTAAAGATACTGTGAGCCCTAAACCTATGGAATTGATGTGTTAGGGACACTTTTAAACTAACTGTTTATGTCACAGATGTCTGGGATTGCAGGAAACTGTTAAGATACCTTTGCAGATATAGCACAGCTCAGTCAGATCCTTAGCATAAATTGTCTTTTGTGTTTTCCAGTGTTATTAGTTACTCTCTCCTGGTGGGAGAAAGAACCTGAAGTTCCTTAGCCATAAAGCCATGAGTTTCCTCCAAAAGAGAAGTACAAGCACAAGTATCTTGCTACTTTCCTAATACCGATTGCCTCTTCTTCCTCATAGCTCAAATAGAATGCACAAATACAATAAAAAAAAAAAAAAAAAAAAAAAAAAAAAAAAAAAAAAAAACTCTGAATTAAACCAAATCAGCTGTACCATGGTTTGCTGGTATGTGCTCCTAATAATCACACTATTTAAGAAAGACATAGGAAACTTCTCGACAGATTTGACCTGCTTGCTGAGGGGAGACACACTGCTCCATGCACGGCATGGCCAGCACGTTTAACATCAAGCACTGTCCTCTTTGTGCTGCGCTCCCGCTGCGGCTTTTCCACATGCTCTCTCGTGGACAGAAAACGATTTTTGTCCAATATAATGACAAGCTGCCTTGTCATTGCCCCGATTGCCAAAGTCAGGCTGCATTAATAATATTTCCCTGTTTTCTCTATCATTGCTCCAGAGTTTCTTTCTTTTTTTTTTTCTTTCCAAGAAGGGAAATGAGGCCCACGTTGCTTCAAGCTGTAAATTATGAGTAGCATGWTTGTCTGTAACTCGAAGCAAAGGTCAAAGGGATTCTTTTTATATATATTTTGTCTGTGTGCCTTAACTGGGTCTTCTTTGATGTCTATACTGTACATGCATCACCATCATTATATCCCTCTTATTATATCCCTGCTCTTGTACCATTAATGCAACTGCAAACGAGATGGCTGAAGCTCCAAACCACCATGTTAATGCATGATACGAAGAGAGAAAATGAAATAAATAAAAACACTTATTAAAGACATGGTCCCTGGTATTAATGTGCATTTAGGAGTAGGACTAATTTAGAAGACAGTATTCTTTTCTGGAAGCAAATCTCTACTTACTGATTTGCAAATTAATCAAATTTTGAGGATAAAGTAAGGAACTTGGAGAGCTTTCATTCATATTTGTCATGAAACTGAGCAAGTAATAGCTTGCTTTATATTGTATCTTGCACATTTATAAGCTAAATCTGTGTATAGTCTAGAGGGCTACAGAAATCTCCAGGACGTCCTCATTGCTATCAGGACAAGAAGACATAGCTTTCATTTGAAAGATAAAATAGACCCAACTCTCCTTTCATTTTAAAAGTTATTCGCAAACTGGGCTTTAACTGCAATGAGAATGTTTTTCAGTCTGATTATATCGAAGCTCAAGGTGTCTGTGAATACAAAAATGTCAAATATAACTTTTCAGATTCTCCCATGTTTTGCATTTTGCAAGGGTTATGGCTTGAAGTTCAAATTTGACTTAGATCTTGGTGACTTTGTTTTTGAAGCAAGAGTAGTCAAAATGTCGACTGCACTTAGCAATAGCCAGTTTGCATGCAGAGTAACAACCCTTTAATACAAAATTTTACTGCAGCATCTTAATGTGCAATTTTATTGCCTATTATTTTTAGCGAGCATTTATAAAGCCTTATGTTTAGGGTTTAACACCTTAGCTATTTCTCATCACAACAGGCTGAAATTTGGCGTAGAAGTGGCTACCCTCATTTCAAATTTTTCATAGAAAATTGTAAACAGCAAATTGCTAATTTGTAAAGATTTTGTTAATTTCCACACTTTGAAGCTTGTCAACTTTAAATGTCAAATAATATGACATCCATATGGACTATTAGATCAATGATAGTTTAGGACCAGAGCTGCCTCAAAGTGCATATCCTGCAATGACACTTCCGAAGTGCTGGAACAGCCTCCTCACTCCCCCCCCACCAAAAATAAATCAATAAATAAATAAAAAATAGCAAAGTTATGGTAGGAAAGAGCAAGACAGCTAAAAGTATCTTTAAAAAAATCTTTCACTCTGTCACTTTGCAAAAGTTCTGAAATTTCGGTTTCCACGTTCCAAACAGGGCTCTGCAGCAGACTGGTTTAAGCCCATTTCAGAGTTATTAAGTTTTGAGCTTTTGAGCTGCAACCTGGGTTGACTTTAGGATATGGTCCGAACAGAGCATRTTATTGTTTTCTCCTTGATGTAGAATATTAGTCCACCTGCTGCATTTCACACTGGAATTTTTGCTGGGCAAAGCTTTTGGACTTCATGGAGTGTGTGTGGCATTGATATCAGTAGGATTTTGTAGTAATATAGAGTAATTTGGAGTTTATGGCAAAATATTCTATACATATTATACAGTAGTGATAACTAGTTAGGGTATCTTTTATGATTCAAAGCATCCGTAGTGGAGTCACATGTGCAGAACCTGTAGTATGTTTTATGTGGGGTATATTCATTTTGGCAGTGTAATATCTCATTTGAAACAAATACGTATTGCACTATTGATTTTCATGGGTCTTAGAAGAGCAGAAACATCATGCAGCTATAAAAACCTCCRTGCTTTCTCTGTGCACACTATGTTTAGATGCAGCTCAGAGCCTTTCATAGGAGTAAACATAAAAMCTACGTTGTTGTGCAGAAATGCCAAGTACTTTGTTTTACACTGTGCACAACAAGACTATATAAGTCCATAACGAGGCTTTAACTCAGATGTGGTCTTTATACCATGAAGTTCCTCTAAGTGTAGTGCAGAGAAGTGCTTCTGCGTTAGAGAGAGGTTCTTTTTCTTGTGCATCTCCAGGAAGTCTGAGCTAACAGGAGCTTTTACCCATAGATTTCTTACACTACTGCAACCTCAAACGTTGCTGGGCTTTATCCCTGCCAGCTCAGCTACCTTGCATAGAGAAAAGGGAGCAAAGTCTAGGGAGAAATGGTTTTATGCCTCGGGAAGGCATCTTTGGCCACAGCTTCTTCTGTGTTTTACCAACTGTGAGGTTTGAAATGCAAGGAGAAAACAGGATGTTTTTAGGGTGTACTTCCATCCTTTCTGTTGCTCTCTGGTACTTTTTATGTCTTGGGGTGCCCAGATGCCGGCTACAATGCAGCTGCTTGGGGAGGTGAGAGCAAAGCCCTGTCCCCAGCTTCACCCATAGAGTCTGAACTATCCCCCTCTCCTACAGAAAGTTAATGCCACTAAAGTGCTTCCCGATATCTCAGTCCATAAAGGATTCAAATAGTATAYTGGCCACTGCCAGAAACTTATTTCTCTGTTTCCCAACATATCTCTGCGTGGATTGGAAATCTGTTTATAGCAGTGTCCTTGAGAAGATTTCCCTTCAAGTCGGGAAACAGTAATAACGTAATGGTCCTCTTAATTAAAATGCTTGGATAAACGATTTTCAGTGTAACAGATCTTTACTTAGTTTTTTTCTTTCTTTCTTGGAGATGATCTGAAAAATCTGATCTGTAAAGTAAGATTGTCTTAAATTTAATTTTAAAGGATCTTTTATGAATAGTAATCTCAGTTTGAGCAGAAAACTTACTCTAGAATTCCCGTCCTTGTCTCACAGCAAAGAAAAGACAAAGCCAGCACAGTCTTTCTTCTGAGACCCCGTTGCCCATCTGCTGTTTTCATTAATTTCTTCGCTTTCTGAAATTGTGTGATTTTTATAATACCTTTTAGCTTTCAATATTCATCAAGCTAATTTTAGGAGAGGGGAATTTAATGCCTAGGAATGGAAGAGTGAAAGTATTTATGTTCTGTTTTTTCGTTTTGCAAAATGAATTCAGATGAAATTGATATTGTTAGAAATCAATAGTCAATTGAAAAATGTAATGTGTTTTTTATCCCTAGCTGTTAAAGAGAAATTTCCAAATAGTAAAAATTAAGTTGTTAATGCTAGCTATTTATAGAATTTAYTGCCTTTTTATGTCATTTTTATATTAGAAATGTATATAGTTCTTAAATGTTATTTATGTATACCTTAACTCTCAGAAGCAAGTTTAAACATGTCAAAAAAAAGATTGCATTTCATTTACTTTCTCTGACCAATTTTAGGCTCGTTGGCTGGTGGGGACATGAATTCAAAACACGATTTCTCATGGAAAACAGTACGTACTTTTATATTTTTCAGTTTTACGTCATAGGATGTGTTTATATAACTAGCATCACTTTTGCAGTACTTTAAGTAGAAGTTCMAGTTAAAGGAGCTTAAGAGGGAACTTTGCATTTCACCTGTGTTAAAGATATTAAACTAATCCCAAGTATGTAACACAATTAAGTCAATAAAATAAATATAGGAATAAATTTGATCTTTAGGCCTACCTATCCTGTTATCCACTTCCAGGTGTTTTACTTAAATACACCAAAACTCCTTGAAAATGCAGATGTAGCCTATGGATAAAAGTTTAAAAGTGGATTAAATCCGTAAGGTGCTGAGGAATGAGTGTCTGTTTGCATTCATGGTGGTTAATACCTTGCTTCAGGATTAGCTCTACGGGAATTAATGCGAAATGATATGTGTAAAGGTAAGGCAATCTGACATAAGTGATGACACATCACGAATGCTTCAGCATCTCCAAATCCCCTGCCCTTGCAGGGGAAGGAGCATGAGACCCAGCCAAATCTGCTCTGAAAGACACTGAAGGTTTATTGCCCCAACGGGTGGTGAAATTGGGCCTCCTTTCTACATCTGAGCTGATCAGTTTTCTGCAGCTTCGTTGAAAAGTGCTGCAGAGAGGCTGCTCTGAAGCATCATGAGAAAGGAGATTTTGGTTGAGTTTTTGTGAGGGGGCATGTGCGTGGGTTTGGGTTAGGATGTGGAGCACGTCTCTAATAGCTTCCAGGGGCTCCTTTTCTTCTGACCAGGTACAAGGCAATGTAGTACTGAAAAAAAAAAAAAAATAAAATAAAATAAAATAAAAAGAGCGGAAGACACAAATTACCTTGTTGGTAGTGTTAGAAGAAGAGTCATTTATTAATTCCCATGGAGAGTTGATAAGGAGAAGCTGGGGACCATCTCCCTCTTGCTTGGGTGCTGGGGCATAAAATATAGACGGTGACTCAGAAATTACAGTGATGTTTGATGCTGTTATTAAAGAGATTTTGTGAGCTTTCACAGCCCCAAATCCCCGCAACTTTGATATGTGGCCTGGAGCTAGAGCTCTCCATAGGCACAGCCTCCCACTCATCGCGTCAGTTTAATAAAGTTAAGGAACATGATTCCCTAATTGCGCGCTCCGGCTTCATGGGAGCGTGCCTCTGCTGACTCGCAGTTTTGCTGGTTTATGCCAGTGTTAAAAGAGATTTGAGTGTAAAGGTGGCTTTAACACACACCATTTAAGCAAATTAATTGCAGTTCTCTAGTTCCCATGAAGCAGCTAATGAGATCTTCCACTGGATAAAATTGGGCTTCTCTGGGAGTTAAGAGTATTAGCTGGGAATAGATTACTATTTCCTTTTAATGACTGATTCCTAAAGGCCACATTARYGATATGTTTTATTGCTGGAGGACAGGCTTCAAGATAAGGTCCAAGACATTACGAGCAAAAGAAATTCACAAACATTAATATCCATTATTCGTTTTCCAGAATTGCAACTGAGTGAAGGAATTAATGGCTTCCGCTTATCGAATCCTCCAATTTTACTGGTCTGTGCTCTGCAAGCCAGTTTAGAGGTAAGTGTCTGCTTTACTTCAGCTTTAGTAGGATAACAATGCTGAAAGAAAGTTGCTCCTCCGACTTTTACATGGACACCAACACTAGAACTGTGTTTCTCCAGGAGCTGCATCTCCTTAATTATGTAATGCTTCCTTTGCTGTAGTGTGACAGTAAGGCTGATGCTGGAAAATAAGAGCAAAAACAATTCTCACRAGAAGGAAGATTGTGGATTTTCACACAATATGAATCAATCACGACACTGCAGTTCTAGCCCTTGACATTTGCTACTTGAGGCAGGATAAGTTTATGTGTGGTTTTGGGCTTTGCTCAGCACGGTTGCATGTGCAGAGAATTTTGGGATCCTCTTRGGATGCTGTTGAGCACTTCCTCAGCAAACTGCTGCTGGGTGCAAATTCCTGCTTGGGTGTGTATGAAACTATTGAACAGCAGACAGGGATGTCTTGCATTTTAATGGCATATTATAACGTAATAAAGTCCAAAATAATAGCTTTACCCCATATTCTCGAAAGCCCAGTTCTGCCATGTACAGGTATAATATATAGAGAGAAATCTGTTCCCTAGCAAAGAAAGAACAACGGGGTTGGTTCTAGTGTTACCAAAACAATTTACATTATTAGGAAGGCCAGAAATGGCCTTTGACTTCATTTTATGTCTTGCAGCAATGCCTTTACATAAAAAGACTTTAAATCACTATAGGTTTTTGGTCAAGCCACAATGAAAGCCTTGCGAAGGAAATCCATCCTGCTCACTGGTTACTTGGAGTACCTGATAAAGCATCACTACAGCGAGGATAAAACCAATCCAGAGAAGCCTTTTGTTAAAATAATCACCCCGCCTCAGATTGAGCAAAGAGGATGCCAGCTTACTCTGTTTTTCTCCCTTCCAATCAAATCTGTATTTAAAGAGCTGGAGAAAAGGGGAGTAGCGGTGAGTAAATCAAATTTCACCTTTTTATGCACTGTTTTGAGAAGTTGTCCAGCTCCAAAATAATCACTTTGTTTTTCTTCCTGTATATATTTAGTATGATATATTTGTCTGTATTTTATTCTTGTATTCTCACGTAAGGCCACAAAAGTAGCTTCAGCARGTTTCAGAGCAATCCTGCAGAAGAAGCTTTTATTAAAATAGAGGGTTTACTCAAACGATGGAAATGTGATTTCTTACTATGCAAACTAAACCTGCATGATTTTGCAGATCAAGAACGGTTTAGAGCATCTCAGTAATTGCCATGTGTGTGCAGGTTCCTCTCAGCATGCAGGTATCTTTCAGCATACGTGGAATGGTTGCACTTTTTGGAGCCAGGACAGGTGTCAGTGTATTGCAAGGACATCCCTGCCTCATTTGGGGAGAGACAGCAGTTTTTGTGATCACCTCTGGCAGGCAGAAAGTAGCCAAGCTGAGGTCACACTTGCCATTGAGCACCACTCAGAAAACTAAATTTAAGGCTCTGCGTTTGTCATTTGGCAGTGCTGGGAGGGGAGGCCAGTAGTGTAATACCGTATAACTGATGTACGAGTTTTATAGGCTGCACTTAAGACAAGATTGGCATGTTTTGGTTCTGCAAAAACAAAAATGCTATCTATTAAATAAATGTGAAGTGCTCCCTGTTTACACGACGCTCCCCTTTCTGTTTTGCAGTGCGACCTGCGGGAGCCCAACGCGCTCCGGGTYGCCCCGGTTCCTCTTTACAACTCCTTCCGAGATGTCCACAGATTTGTTGAGATCCTGGGAGCTGCAATTACAGCTTCCAAACAAGCAGCAAACACCGTGTGCCCTGCTCCTCACTGATGCCTCAGCTCCATCTTTTAATCCATTTTTGACTAAGATGCATTTATCCCACTGAGAGACTCTTTGTTCTTCGTAGCCTTAGCAGGCCATAAAAAAATTTGCAAAAAAAAAAAAAAAAAAAAAGCAAAAAAAATGACTGTGCTTCAATGGTTACTTACATAGTTCTTCAATGGTTACTTACATAGTTTTATTAAAGCTTGTATTTCCACTCTGCCTTGACTTTGACTTCATGAATTAGTGTGCTTTGTATATTTTAATGGGGCTTTTCTTGAATGTTTTCTCTGATTTTATTACATTAGTTTTGAGAAGCACGGAAGAATGCCTATCAGCTACAAGAGAATGAAAATAAGTCTCCTTGTTTATTAGCAAAAAATGATGCACAACAAAAAATGGAAAACAGACAAACCTCTGGCTTTGTTAAAAACATTCAATTTGCATTTCCAATTTATCAGTTCTATTTATAGTAAATAAATGTGAATCTTCTACACTTGAAGAGTAAAAGTTGAACAATTATTTGTTGAAAGAGTGTTAACAGCTATGTACTGAAACTTTCAAAGATGTTGACATTTTGAAATTCTCATTTAATTAACATCTAATTGATGAGTGAATTTATCGGGGACCCCACCTTTGGTAGGTAAGTGTGATACAGTTGGCTGAAATAAGAAGTTCTATGTTTAGATTTCTAGGTTTGATCTTAAAGATGATATGCTTGAGAAAGCCAAAAGGGGTTTTAAGTCCATGGAAAAGAGTGTTAAGGGCTATATGAGCATTTATTGTGATTATTGTGATTTTAAGGCTCCATCACCTTTCCAGGGTCCTCACCAGGGACGGAGGTGAGGTTGGCTGGCCTGTAGTTTCCTAGCTCTTCCCTCTTGCCCTTTTTGAAGACTGGAGTGATGTTCGTTTCTTCCAATCCTCCGGCACCTCCCCAACTCTCCATGACCTATCAAAGATGATGGAGAGCAGCTGAGTGGCTTCCTCAGCACTCTTGGGTGCATCCCATTTGGGCCCAGAGAGATATGGGTGTCCACTTTGCCTAAATAATCCCCAACCCAATCTTCCTCGATCAGCGGAAAGTCTTTTTCTCTACTGGTTCTCTCTCTTATATCTGGGCTCTGTAGTTCACGGTTATGACATTAATAATGTAAACGGTAACTGAGCCCCTAAGCGTGTGTGTGTGTTCAGTCTGTACCCACTTTTCAAGAATCAGCTAAGCCATAAGATTTTCTTTCCCAACATACTCAGTGTGTCTGATTTTTGGTAGGAAACACTTAGAAGATAAGTTTTTTAGGAGCTTTTAATTGTACTTGTAGAATGTGAGGCATGAGGATGGCTCCAAACCTTTTTTTTTTTTTTTTTTTTTTTTTTTTTTTTTGTAAGGGCTTTTGTGTTGGCTGCCTCTTGTGTGTCCCTTAAGTGCCCTGTTTGGGCTCCATCCTCAGTGTCCCAGCCCACATGGAGCCTCTGCAGGGCCAGTCTCCACTCTAAAATTCCCCCAAAATGGGTAGCTTTAAATTCCCTGTCAGAGTAATACTTATGTCATGGTTGCAACAGAGAGTGGAAGACTGAAAGAACTGCAAATACAGAGTTTGTCTGTGTTTTTGGCACCTGTGAAAAAGTAAGAACTGCCACTTAACCTGGAATATCACGAGAAGGAGCAGCACTTCTTACTTGGTTAGAGAGCTTGGGGTCAATCGAGAGCTTTTGATTACACTGACATGATCTGCCTTTAATTTCTCTAATTTAACAGAAAGGATCTGCTCTCTTGCAGATCAGGACTCTGCGTTTCAGTGGCTGTGTTTTTATTTTCATTCTAACATCTGAAGTGCTGCCACTGTCACCTGTTGAACAACATGGACTTTAAAAGACTTGTGTTTTCTGTAGAAATTTACACTATAAACTGCTATAAAAATCCCTTATTTTTATTTCAGTTTGACTCTGCTTGTGAAGTAGACCATGGAAGAACTTGATGTCTGGTGTTCAGACATCAGGTAGATGGGCAAGATGGCAAATCTTGAGGTCTCAGGCCAGCACAGCAGTTTGGGATCTGTGTTATAATCACTGGGTGTACAGCAATTCCTTTAAGTTCTGGAGTGTGAGCCAGGTAGATCTGTAAAATCCTGTTTTAGAAACATAGCAGTTTGTTAATAAAGTCACCAGTATTTTGTCTTCTGTAACACATGAGACTTGGAGCATACATTCATTCTATAGCATTTGTGGTATGAGATGAACTTGTCAAAGTTCAGAGTCAAAATTCCCTTATTTTTCCTTTCTTTTACCTGTGAACCATGAAGACAAACACAAGGCTCCTTTAACATGTGCATATATTTAAAATAATAGCAAATTTCGAATGATGGGCAAGGCTATATTGTGTTTTATTGAAATATTACAGCATAAACACTTGTATTCTATGTTCTTTCTTTAGTTGCACTATAAGTTTTGCAAAATGAATAATACTGAAAGTTAACATTAGGTGTCAGTATTTTACATATTATTTAGTGAGAGTTATCAACTGAAAGAGCTTCTATGCAGAAAAAAAAGGAATATTGCAGTCTACAGCTTCAAGTGCTCTAAGTTATCACAGTTAGCGTAATATCAGAAATAATTATGTGAGAAATAATTAATTGTATATACCCCGAATGCTTCTCACTAGTTACATCTCTGATTTAAAATTCAGTATTAAGTACCTCTGGCTTCTAATTGTGATGAGATTTAATTCTAGGATTGTCTGAAGAAATTACATTTTTTAAATTAAACTGCATGACATGAGGGTCTGTAGATGGCAGGAAATGATAGGCAGGTAGGCATCAGAAAATGTCTATAAGATGAAAAAATAAAAGATAACATGTAGGTGCCTGGTTGTATATGATACTTCTTAGCACAACCCAGTCAGTACTGTATAGATCATTTTAATTCCYTGTAACTATTGAAAACTTGAAGAAAAAATATTTTTAAGATCTATTTGTGCAATTTTACTGTTGTTTTGTCAGAAGGAGGCTGGAGAAAAGTCAAAGTCCTCTTCTGCGTGGAGGAAGGGAGCACATGGTACTCTTGTTTTCAGAAAGAACTGTGTACTTGAAGGGATGAATGTCATTACATGGGTGCAAATGAAAGAGGATGTGACCCGTTTTAAGAGATTAAGATGTAAAATATTGGCAGTCTTTGCTCTAACTGGCAGAATTCATCTTCCTTTCTTTTACTTAGTGCTATGGATTGGTGGTCTAAGGAAGGAAGTAGGGAAGAGAAGGGGAGAAAGAAAGGCTAGTCTAGCTGAGTTCAGTACACATTCAGTGCAAGAAAATGAAGAAGAGGAGACAACAAAATAAAATACTTAACACTGTAAGTGTTGATATGTTATATCATGTTCCCAGATACCACATCAGGCAGGTGGGACTTCTCTATGAAGTTCTAGCTGTGAAGGAAGAGAGACTCTGGAGATTCTCAGAGATTCTTAAAACCCTCTTCAGGCCCCTGCCTCAACCTCTGGGCATCCAAGCCTTTGAAAATAGTTTTCTGAAAAGCTAATCGCTCTTCCCAATCAGCTGAGGGACAGATTCCCACCCTAAGCTTAAAGCTTTGTCAATATTCGTGAAATATATTTAGAAAGCTTGGAGAGAAATGAATAAGCTACAGATCAGTAATTCATACTTTTTATGTTCTGAGTTGTTATTACCTAAACTTACCCTTCTAAGCATCACTTTACATTTCCAGTTAAATGTAAGTCAGAATTGATTGGGGTATTTCTCAATGGACTTCTATCTTTATTTCATCGTAATTGCTTCATATTTGAATAATGACAGATGAACTACTTCATTCAATTGCAGTTTTAAGGCTTTGAAGTCACAATAACAGCAAAGGATTTAAATCCTGAAGCCATTATTATGGCTGGGAAGACATCGGGGAAAAGAAAGACTTATAGTGGAGTAATTTTCTAGGCAGAAGAATATTTCTATGGCTGCACTTTTTTTTTTTYCCCTTTTTTCTTTCCTGGATATTTTGCTAACTTTAAGAGGATCCCACTAAGCTTCAACAAAATGAAGTAGCTGCAACTTATAGCAGAGTAAATGGCTTCTCTCCACCCCAGAAGAAGACATTATAAATCTACTAGAGTCCATGCTGTAAGTATATGTCTACAGTTATGTTGCTTTGGATGCTGGCTACAGACCGCTTAGAATTCCACACAGCTGCAATACTGAATTTTACCAATAAAGAGTTCATTAGATCTTTTTTCTCTCTGACATTTACGTCTAGTCCTGCGTACATGTTAATACTCCAAGGTATGAATTTCAAAGTTCCCTTTATCTTTGTGTACAGTTTTGAGCAATTAATCAAGTGGTATGAAACAGCTTTAAAAATAAGAAACGAATAGTGAATTTAAATTGTATGTTCAAAAAGTTGCTGCATTATAATTTGTGGGGAACAACTGAGCTGGATGCAGAAGATCTTTTTTTTTTTCCTTTTTTTTTTTTTTTTACTTAGATTTTCTTGAAAGTTTTTGAGGAGATTGTCAAATTGTTAAAACATGACCAAATCATACATCCAGAATAGTTCTTTCTCCTAGGAGGCTACATCAAAGAGAAATAGACATGGAAAAATCATTATTTAATATGTTCAAAATGACTCCCACGTGGGATAAGATTTATACAGGCTTCTGAAATAAGCATAGGGCCAACCAATACTGAAAACCCTTCATTTAAAATAAAAGCAAATGGCATTCTTGTCATCACAGCACCATGTATAAACATGAGGATATATATACTTTTTTTTTTTCTCTTTTTTTTCTTTTAAGGCATACTTGGAATGCAAGAAGGCTTGTGAGCCCCACGGATATCATGGAAACAGGAAAGGCTTTATGCCTTACTATGTCTGCAGCCTGGCAAAGCTCAGACTGCACAGATATGCTGCACATCTCACGGGCTCACCTATGGTGCCATTGAGTAAGGTCCCTCTTATTGAAGAAAAGTCTGTAGTGCAATAAGTGTTACCTTAAGTTCATGGTAGCAGGCTAAGAATCAGGMCTCCTAGGTCTAATTTGCAGTTTGTATAATTTTCCAGTGCCTCAGTTTGCCAAGAAGGTGGGAT